TGAGGTAAGGGAGGAAATAGCAGGGTATTGGCAATAATTTTCAATTTCTCCCTGACCACACAAGAATGCCAGACGACTGGAGGAGAGCTAATGTGGTACTGTCATTAAAGAAGAGAGCAGGAGATAATCAAGAGAAACTTCAGGCCAGTCAGTCTCACCTCATTGGTGGGGAAACTATTGGATTCAATTCTGAGGAACAGAATTCATCCTCATTTGGAGAAGCAGGCATTAATCAAGAATAGTTAGAATGGTTTTGTTAAGGGGAGACCATGTCTGACCAACCTGCTGATACTTTCAAAGAGGTGATGAGGTGTGTAGATGAGGGGAATGCATGTGATGTCGTCTACTTGGACTTCAGCAAGGTTTTAATAAGGTCCCTTATGGGAGACCGAGAGCAAAGGTAAGATACCATGGGATCCAAGGAAATTTGACAAATGGGATATAGAACTAACTGAATGGCAGGAAGCAGAGAGGATGGTCGAGTGGGGGGTGTGGGGGTTTCCCATGTCCAGTGGGTTTCCATAGGGATCAGTGTTGGAGCCCTCACTATTTCTGATAAAATATAAACGATTTTAACTTGAATGTAGGAGGGTTGATCACTAAGTTTGCAGATGATAGAAAAATTTGTGAGGTGGTAAACAGTGACGAGGATAGCCTTAGACTACAAGAGGATGTGGACAGGATGGTCAGATGGACTGATCAGTGGTAAATGGAATTAAATCTGGATAAGCACGAGGTAATGCCCTTGGGCAGGACAAACAAGGCTACAGAGTACATGATAAACGATAGCTCCCTGGGAAGCACTGAGGGTCACAGGGACCTTGGTGAGCATGTCCACTGGTCCCTGAAGTGGGACCAGTAGATAAACTGGTAAAGAAGACATACCATATGGTTGATTGATCTCTTGTCACGTTTACCGAAACCCGGTGAAAAGATTTGTTTATTCGCAGGACAGGCAGATCACAGCAAGCAAAGGATGTACAGGTCAGAAAGACTTAAGAGGCATGCAGGTTACATTTGAGGCTAGAGTCCATTCAGTAGCCTGATATCAGCCAGAAAGAAATTGTTCCTGAACCTGCTGGTGCCTGTCTTCAGGCTTCTGTATCTTCTGCCTGATGGAAGAGGTTGCAGGAGATCATTACTAGGGTGCGATGGGTCTTTGATGATGTTGGCCACCTTTCTGCAGCACTGAACCGTGTAAATGGAGCCCATGGATGGAAGGTTAGTTTCTGTGATGGTCTGGGCTTTGCACACCACCTTCTGCAGTTTCTTACAGTCCTGGGCAGAGCAGTTGCCATACCAGGCCGTTATGCACCCGGACAACATGCTTTCTATGGTGCATCTGTCGAAGTTGATGTGGGACCTTATGGACATGCCAAATTTCCTGAGCTGCCTGAGGAAGAAGAGGCATTGTTGTGCCTTCTTGACTGCGGCATTTACGTGGGAAGTCAACTTACCTTTATGAGCTGAGGCACAGAATTTCAGAGCAGGGAGAGGATGCTGGAACTATATAAAACTTTGGTTTGGGCAGAACTAAAGGATTGTCTGCAGTGTGAAATCCACATTATAACAGGGATGTGATTGCACTGGAGAGGGTGCAGAGGAGATTTACCAGAATGTTGACTGGGCTGAAGAGTTTTAGTTACAGAAAGAGACTGCATAGTCTGGGGTTGGTTTCCTTGGAGGAGAGGAGACTAGATTGAGATGTATAAAATTATTTGGGGCACAGATAGTGTAGAGGGGAAGAAATGTTTCCGCCTGGTGGAGGAATCAATGTCCAGAGGGCATCGATTTAAGCTAAGGGGCAGAGTTCCAGTGCGTTAGCCAGGAACTTTTTTCTCCCCCAGTGGGTGCTGGAACATGGAGATCATTACTTATAAAGGTGATACAGACAGACACACTCATAACATTTAGGAAGTATTTAGATGGACACTTACAATATCAAGACTGTGGGCAAATTGTTGGAAAATGGAACTAGAATAGTTTGGAGCTTGTTTTTGACTGATGCAGCCTCAGTGGGCTGATGGACATTTTCCTGTGGAAATCTGTGACTGTATGACTACGAATCCTGGAAAGTGAAAACAATGCTACCTTCTTGTTACAACAACCTATTTCCTAAAGCCCTCCTGCTTTGCCACCTCCATCTCCAATGGCAATGAACAAAGGGAGGTAGTAAAGGAACACTTGCTGACTTCCAAAGCAAACTAAACATACCCCCCATCAGGAGGACAGATTGGGATCAGCATTTTATGAGACCTGAAACAGCAGGTCCCCGAGCATTTTACAAACAGCAAATTCTTGCCTCCTGATCCACAAGTACTCCACCAACTTTGCAACTATCTTGTAGATAGTACACACTGCTGAGCATGGGTGGTGGAGGGAGTGGTTGCTAGTGGATGTAGTGCCAAACAAGTGGGCTGCTTTGTCCTGGATGGTATCAAGCTTCTGGAGTGTTGTTGGAGAGACACTCATTCAGGTAAATGGGGTGTACTCCATCACACTCCTGATTGTGCCTTATAGATAGTAGACAGACTTTGGGGAGTCAGGAGAGTAGTTACTCTCTGGAGTATTCCTAGCATCTGACCAACTCTTGTAGCTATTGGGTTTATGCAGTGAGTCCAATTGAGTTTACGGTCATTACCCCCAGGATGTTGACAGTGGGCCATTCAGTGATGGTAACACCGTAGACTGTCAAGGCGTGGTGGTTAGATCGTCTCTTATTGGTGATGGACATAACCTGGCATTTGTGTGGTGTGACAGTGACACACTGCTTGTCAGCTCGAGCCTGGATATTGTCCAGATCTTGTTGCATTTGGATATGGACGTCTTCAGTATCTGAGGAGTCACGAATGGTGCTGAACATTGTGCAATCATCGGCGAACGTCCCCACCTCTGACCTCATGACAGAGGGAAGATCATTGATGCAGCAGGTGAAGATGTTTGGGCTGAGGACATTACCTGGAGGAACTCCTGCGGAGATGTCCTGGAGCTGAGATGACTGACCTCCACCAACCATGACCATTTTTCTATGTGTCAGGTATGACTCCAATCAGCAGTGAGTTTGCCCATTGATTCCAATTTTGTGAGGGCTCCTTGATGCCACACTTGGTCGAATGTAGCCTTGATGTCAAGGGCTGTCACTCACCTCACAACTGTGGATGTGGGGCAGGTAACATCTGCTGAAATTAGCACTGATCACAGCACTCTACCACTTCGTTAACTGCTGCTTCAATGCTAGACTACCAAACAGAGCTTATTGCAAACATCTTCATTTTAAAGGATAGGCACTTTGTAAATCTTCCAGTAACAAATCTCTTCCTACCCAAGAATAATTGCTCTCGATCCCCAAAGGACAATACCATACTCACAACGAAGCTCACTTTTCCCCAACTGGTAAGCCTTAATTTCTTCTGAAAGTCTCTTTTTCTGCCAGCCACACACTATTGTCTGTTTCTCCTTTGACAACTGTGGGTTTCTGTTAGCCCAGTACTTACTTTGTTGAGCTAAGACAGATAAAGTAGCTTGAAAATTCATGGCCATTCCCATCTCTTCCGACACTGTGGGACCTGTGCCTATCTCTGGTCAGGGAACATGACTGAGGGCATCAGCATTGGCTATTTATGTCCCAGGACGAGGTTCAAAGGCCAAAGCTATTGGTCAAATTGCCTTATATTCCCAACAGTGGCTTGTGGTCTGTCACTACAGTGATGAAATGTCTCCAGTATAGATATTGGTGGAACATTTTGTTGCCACAAATAACTGCTAGGTCGTCTCTTTTAATTCACAAATAGCTCTTCTCCGAGTCCGACAGTATTTTTGCTGCATTTCCCACAGGTCTCTCTGACCCATCATCCATTGTGTGGGATAAAACTGCCCCAACACCATATGAGGATGTTTGTAATATCTCGTTGGTTGAAGCAAACCAGGAAACACAATAATTGCAGCACCTGCTGGACCTGTTTAAATGCCTCCGTTTATGGTCCTTTCCAGACCCTGTTGTTTCGTTAGTCATTTTTGTAGTGGCGCTAACATTGTGGAAAGGTTTGAGAGGAATCACCCACAATAGTTAACCATCCCTAGAAAGGATTTGAGTTCAGAGATATTCCGAGTGGCCAGTGCCTCCTTGATTGTTCTCACTTTGTCCTCCATGGGGGTGCAAACCCTGTGCATCCATCTGATAACCCAAATAAACCACCTCATTAACCTGGAAGGTGCTTCTCTATTAAGGTGCACTCCTGCTTCCTGGAATCTCCTTCACATTTCTCCAAAAATCAACAAATGTTCTTTTTCAAGAGGTTTGTTGATACTTTATCAAAGGACACAACAATAACCGGCAAGTTTTGCAGTAAACTCTCCATGGTTCTTTGGAATACAGTACAGGTGGGTAAACTGGTACAATGCCTTGTGGGTGTTTATAGTCATATATTCCCATGAGGCATCGTCAGCTCCAGCTGCTGCTCGGCATGACTCATGTCTAACTCAAAGACTGTCTGACCAACCCCCCCTCCCGCCCCAGCTGCTTTCCCATTCGGATCTTCCTGTTGGGAACGAGATGCTTATCCAGCCTCATCGCAGCCACCAGCTTGTAATCCCCACAGCTGTGAATGAACTTATCCAGTTTCACTCCTGGCACAATGGGTGCTGCCCATTCTGCAAATCACACTGGCTGAATGATGCCAAGGTCTTTTCATTTTCTTCAACTCCATCTCAAACTTCTCCAATAACACACAGTGCACAGGCCTAACTCTGAAAAATCTAGGGATGGCTTCTGGATTGTGTGACCCTCTCCACTCTCTCTGACGCTGAAAGTCTCTGGCTAATTTCATTTGATATCTTGGAGCTAATCACGCCGCATTAAACATGGACCCTGACCAGCCACCATGACCAAAGGCAGCTGAATGCATTGCTGACAGTACCTCACTGGAGCCACCGTTGTGCCTATTCATGTAATGGCCACCAGCCACCACCCCCCCACCCTACACATCTTGTCAGCCTGGTCCCAGTGCTCTTCAACATCAGAAGGTGAGCTCCTTCTTGAAGATACTGGTATGGAGGTTGCTCCCCCGTGATGGTAGTGGAGACCCCAATGTCCACTTCTATTCATAACATTCTTTCTGTTTAACAATAACTCCAATGTCAACTCTGCCTCAGGACCAAATTCCATACAATACACTGGTGCTGGACTGTTCCATTTACCACTGCTGGGCAAGCTTGGCTTATACCAAAACTTATGCCTAAATGTCCTTTTATTCTGGCACCAAAGGATTTAATGTCCCTAAGTCTGCTCAGGTCTGGAGGGAGGGGTGATGGTGGTGGCGGTTGGCTTCCCCCACACTGGAAACACTCTGCACACTCAGGGCCTGTCCAAGGCTGTTGCTTTAATCTTCTGTACATTCTGGCTGTTCCAGTTCCTAGATCCATTCCCTTGCTTTCACCAGCACCTTCACTCCGGGCACCCCCACTGTTGCTTGTAGTTTCCCATCCTAACCGGTGGACTGTGCTGCTCAGAGCACTTTGTATCTCCTGCTCGCCCTTCTCCACACTCTCCATGCCTAAAATAATCTCCAGCAACCTTCTAAAATCCATTTACAATTTTTACAAAACTTTTTTTGTACGATTTCATGATTAATGTCACACAATAAACAATCTCCTACTTAAAGTTGGTCAAAAATCACAATGCTCCATAATCTCCTTGAGTCTCGCCATGACGGGCTCTCCCATGAATTAAAGTGGTAACGTTCTAAAATCACAGTGGGTGCTTAAGGTGACAGTGTCCTTTGAGTAAGGCCTATAATCTTTGAAAATGTTTCGACATCAGGGGCTTTCAGGGACGTTAAGTTTCAAATCAGACTGGACCTCTGTACCAACACGCAGTTAACAAAATCACTCTCTTTCACCTTCTGCTCCATTTCATTCACATGGTAAAACAGTTTTAACCTTTCTACATACTGTACCCTATCTATCTTCTGTAGCTGTATTGAATGGCATTAATTTTCCAAAAAGCGTCATTTTCTTTGGAGGCTGGACCTATCTGACTTTTCTTACAATTTTGAGTTGCTGGCCCAATTTATTACAACTAATAACATTTATTTACAGAGTACATCGCACAATCCTACATGGCTTGCTCCCCAATTCAACTGCTCAGCAAGTTCACACACACATCCTGCAGATTTCCCACTCCATCCCTGACTGGCTCCTTCCTCAGAGAGAATTTCTTTAAAGGGGTCAACCACTGATTGAATCAAAAGTTGAGTTTCGATAGTAGTGGGAATGAAGTTACTGACTGTTTCACTAATATCCTTCAGGAAAGGAAATTGGTCAGACAGACCCATAATAAAGTGTTTGACTTTGAACTGCCCTCCGAGATGGCCCAGGAAGCCACTCAGTTGTATCACACTGTGACAGAAATAAAACACTGTGAATGTACTCATATTACACGGAGTGCAGTGGATCATGAAAACATCTCAACACCACCTTCTCAACTGCAGTTAGAGATGGGCAATAAATGCTGGTCTAACCACTGATTCACATCTCCCAAAATGAAACTTTAATAAAGGGCTTATTATGTCTCAGAGACAGTTACATAACTTTTCTTCCTTTGCAGAGAAGCAGCATGTTGAGCAAGGGATTATCCTGAAAGCAAAAAAAAATTAAAATTTCCCGTTCACATTACATTCTTTCCATTTCGAATAATTTTCAGATAATTAAGGACCTGTTACAATTATAATTCATTTCAACCTTAATGTACATCCATAAATGTCATGCTTTAAATGTCTATTTTGCTCCTACCTTTAATCTTTTTATCTTCTTTTCTGTGGACTATTACATCAACAGTAATAGCCACAATCACAAGGCCAAGAAACACCAAGAAACATACAAGCCAAGCATTGACTCTGGGGAAGAACTCATCTAAGATTAAAAAGAACGGAATCAGTATTTGATCTGCAAGACCCAAAACTGTGAAACAAACATTTGGGATTTTCTTCAAAATATCATAATTTCATCAACCTTCAGCTGTAATCTCAGCTACTGATTCCCTCTCAGGTCATACAGGTAAATAATACCATTGCTAATAAGAATTTTTGTTGAAAGAACTTGCATTCATTTGGATTTCAGGTGCTGTTGTGAATAAACATTTGTTTCTCATAATAACACTCAGCCAAAAGCACAATACTCAGTGACCTTGGTCCTAATCTCTATCCAGTGACCACAGCTGGAATATGAAATGTGGAAATTGGTAAGGACACATCAGGCCCAGCTTCAGTGTTGTGGATAGTCTATTCGCTTTTCAATGTTTCAGGTTTAAATATGAAAAGCTGCTCCTTGAGTATTGTCCAGAAACAAATCAGTGCTTGTGAATTTCACACCCAGTCTGAGTTAGTGTCTTCAGGAGGGGAGAAATATCGCTCATAAAATGATTACCAGACTCACACCTACCTGATATCTGGAGATGGGCCTCTCGTCTTTTGCTCAATAACTGGTTTTTTATGAAACATGAAAACTTGTTTACAGAATCACTTTTGACATTAATACGACTCTGGACAGTGTTGAGGCCTGTAGGGTCCTGAATGAATTCTGTTTCAGACTGTGCTGTCACATCTTCTCCTTTCCCATCTACCCACTGTATCAGTGGGTCAGGATACCATCCGTCTGATCGACACACAACACAAAGTCCTTCTTTGTTGTTCTCCTCCACATGAATCCAAGGCCGCTGTCCAAACTCTGCAATTAGCATATAATCAGTTATTCAAACTTATATTCATTTTAAATTGTACATGTTTCATTCAACAGTACATAATCATTTTAGTGCAGTGTGGCAGGGTGAGGGGCAGTGGGTGGGCAGTAGGTCAGCGTGTGGAGTGATTGGGGAAGACGTAGAGGTTCAGTCGTCAGTCTCATAGGAAGAACAGGCAGGATCAGGTTAATGAACACAGCGGGACTGGTGATCTGAATAGTATTTATTTTAATGCAAGCAGCTTAACAGGTAAGGCAGATGAGTTTACAGCCTAGATTACGACATAGAACAACAATGTTCTAACACTCATGAAACTCAGTTGTATTGTGGGCAGTTCTGGTTGCTGAACTATAGGAAGCATGTGGAGGCTTTGAACAGGATGCAAAAAATGTTGACCAGAATGTTGCTTGGATTGGTGTGTATGAGCAATAAAGAGAGGTTGGAATATTTTCACTGGAGCATCGGAACTGACGGGAGACCTGATAGAAGTAGATAAACTATGAGAGGCATGGATAAAGTGGATAGTTGGAGTCATTTTCCCAGGCTGGAAATGTCAAATGCTAGGGGACATAGCTTTAAGGTGAGGGGGGAAAGTTTAAAGGAGATGTGCGAGGCATATTTGTTACACAGAGGGTGGGAGGTTACTGTGCTGCCACGGTAGGTGATAGAAGCAGATACAATAGCAACTTTTCGGAGGGGCTTAGACAGACACATGGACAAGCAGGGAATAGAGGGAAATGGACCATGTGCAGGCAGATAGGATTAGTTTAGAGTGGCATCATGGTCAGTCCAGACATAGTGGGCCGAAGGGCCTGTTCCTGTACTGTACTGTTCTACGTTCTATGCATTAATTTAGAACTAACCACTCTTGCCTTGCCTGCGTGAATAATTTAACTGTTGGTGATAATGTTAAAATAGGCAATATCAACACCACCAGGTCTGTCCCCTGTTTCTCAGCCAGAAGGATAACAATGAATCTGAATCAGATCCTTATCCTATTCTCAATCATTCTCGATTCCTTCATTTCAACTTCACTGAATCCCTTCATCAACATCTGCCACTGCGATGTTACTGTTTTCTGTTCCATTTCCGATAACTTCAAACATATCCAGAAAGACAGCCCAAAGGTTGTATAGTGGAATCCCCTCTGATAGGCAGAGGATGTAAACCCATTCAACTACAATCCATGATCACACAGCCAAACACCAAAACATCATCTCCCAGTATTACCAAACTCTTTCCAGAAACCCTCCTCACCACTGACCACCTTTCCACAGCTTTCTCTTGTATTTTTCCACAACCTGTCTCTAATTCCTCCTAAGATACACAGATAGCACTGTTCTGCTGGATGGATTATTATGTATCGAGAGATTCCCTGCTCCCGGAGCTGGGGTTTATGGAGAGATTCACTAATCCCGGAGCTGGGATTTACTGAGAGATTCCCTAATCCCGGAGCTGGGGTTCACTGAGAGATTCCCTGCTCCTGGAGCTGGGGTTTACTGAGAGATTACTGATGCACACAGAGATTCCCTGCTGTCAGCCTCTTAGAGCCCTTGTATCTATATTCTCTTCCTTGGCTCTTGCGACCTGTGCAGAACTGACACAGTGTTTTAGGCAGGTTTTGGAGAAGTGGCCAATACACAGGCTGCAGTCCTTTTGTTGATGGCCTTCTGACCTGCAGAACGTCCATGTGATGCAGTAGTTAGCTGTACCGTGACCAGATTTACCACAGGCACAACAACGTTTTGGCTGCCCAGTATCGGTACGGCAACCCCAGTGACCCCAGCTTCCCCAAACAGCAAAACAGCAGGGAGAGCGAAGGATTGCTTCCTTATCAAGCACTTTGGTCAGCACGGTGGCTCAGTGGTCAGCACTGCTGCCTTACAATGCCAGGGACCTGAGTTCAATTCCATCCTCGAGTGACTATGTATGGAGTTTGCACATTCTCCCTATGTCTGCAAGGGTTTCCTCCAGGTGTTCTGTGCAGGCTAGGTGCTTTAGCCATGGGAAATGCAGGGTTACAGGGATGGGGTGGACTCAATGGACTGAATGGCCTCCTTCCGCAATGAATTCCAACAATGAACCTTCAAAATCACCTTGTCCCTGGTTCAAATCCTGAAGGAGTGCTTGTTCTCTTTCCTGTTCTCAATGACATCAGTGTACTTGGTGAGGAAGGTAAGTCTGAACCCCACTTTCTGATGTACTGCCCTTGATATTTTGACTGTTTTATTAATTAAGAACTAACTCAGTGTACAAATATTCACTGAACCTGTCTCCATGACTTTCTGAGGAAGATAATTCCACAGACTAATGACCCTCTGTGGTGTTCCCCAATTCTAATCCCACTCATAAAGAGAAAACAGAGTTTCAGGACCAACCCTGTTGTCCCCACAAGATCTTTTAATTTCAATAAGATCACCTACCTCCCTTCAAAACTCCAACAGGTATCAGTCCAACTTGTCCAACCTTTCCTCAGAAGATAATCTCTTCTCTGAACTGCATCTAACTCAATTACTTTATTAAAGGAATAGATCCAAAGTGTAGACATTACGCAGATGTGGTCTCACAACTGAAATAACTCAGTCACCAGTCACTCTTCATTTACATATTCATAGTATTTGACACTTCCTCAGTGCCGGCTCCCAGAGTGAGCAGAACCCCTGACACTCCAGTTTTGATCTGTCAACTAGGATTAACAGCCCCAGTCAGGGAACTCATATTCTATGAGGTTCAGAGATAGTAGGGACTGCAGATGCTGGAGAATCTGAGATAACAAGGTGTAGAACTGGATGAACACAGCAGGCCAAGCAGCATCAGAGGAGCAGGAAGGCTGACGTTTCGGGCCTCGAGGGGTCTAGGCCCGAAACGTCAGCCTTTCTATGAGGTTCACCTGGCTGACCTCGTTACAATCACTATATCCCTCCCCCTCTAAGTCCAGGGATGTAAACCTGTTCTTTTTCTTGTAGCTTCTCCTGGGGCATTTTTCCTCCAGGTCCGCTTCCTCGGACTCTGCCTCGGACACAGGTAGTGTGTGACAGACAATACCCCACCTCTGGTGCCCGGAGCATCTCAGGAGAAATTCATCCTGTTCTTCAGGCGGTAACAGCATTGAGGCTTCAACACCCACCATGTCCATTTCAGACTCTGGGAAGATCAGATTTAACCTGATGTGGAGTTTTCTCCACATTAGCAACTCTACCAGAGCTACCCCTGCAGTTGCATAACGGGCAGTCCTATCATCAAATAGGAACCACGACAGCTTGGTCTCGAATGATGCTGTAGGTTGCTTCTTTAAGCTGCCCTTCAAAGTTTGGACTTCTTTTTCTGACAGACCATTGGACAATGGATGGTATGTAGTGAAATGCCATTCGACTTTCGGAAATACTTGAATTCCAAGCTGGTAAATGATGGCCCGTTGCCTGTGACCAACAATTCTGGGAGTCTATGCATTGCAAAAGATGCTCACAGCTTCCCTATCTCTATTTGTCATCCCACGTTTGACAAATGAACTCTCTGCACGTCAACCACTTTGAATGGGCATCCACAATGACAAGGAGCATGGAGCCCATGAAAGGAGCAGCATAATCAATGTGTAACCAAGTCCAGCATTTACCCAGCCATTCCCACGAACATGGGCAAGCTGCTGGTGGTAATTTCTGTCCTTGTTAGCATTGAGGGCATTGCCCCAGAAATGCGGCTTTGTCTGCATCCAATCCTGGCCACCAATTATAACTTCTCACCAACATCTTGTTTTTGGAAACCCCTAGATGACCCTGGTGGAGTTCAGCCAGTATCTGGGGGTGACCTTTACTCAGGACAATCACTCTGGCTCCTCATAATAATGAGCCGTCTTCTATGGTGATCTGGTCTCGCCAGGTCCAGAAAGGTTTCAATTCTGGTTGTGATGGCCCTTCCGTTTCCCTCATCACTACCGGCTGGTTCTAGTTTTGCCAAGACAGAATCTTTTTGCATCCACAATGTCACATTGTCAGCGGCGACCAGAAAGGTGTCCAGGAAGTTCAAAACCAGTACGGACTCTTCCAGTAACAGCACCACTGGTGGTGTATTTGCCAGTAGGAGACGGCTCACAGTATCTGCATTTGCCACTTGGCCTCTTGGACAGTGTTGCAATTTGGAATTGTATGCACTGAGAAAAGGGCCCACTGCTGAATTTGACCAGAAGCTATCGGCGAATCAGTCTGGTCCTACTTAGGTAGACCGTGCAGGGGTTTGTGGTCCGTTACTATCACAAAATTACATCTGTTGGAACTTTCTCACTCTGATAATGATCACCAAACCTTTCCTTCTCTATCTGGACGTAACTGCGTTCGGCATCTGCCAAGGTCCAGGAAACAGACACTATCCATCAGGCCACTGGTGGGCCAAAACAACCCCAATGCTGTATGGGGAGGCATTCCATGTCAATACAAGATCTCTCTTGGGATCGTAGTGAGCCAAAACCTTCGCTGCTTCTTCACTTCCCTAAAGGCTACAGCTTGGCTCTGCGACCATTCCCTCAGGGATCCTTCTACAAGAGCTGATGTAAGGGCATCAAGATGGAGGCCAGGTTATGTCTGAACTTCCCGTAATAATTCACCAACCCAAGGAAAGACCAAAGCTCCGACATACACTGAGAGTCGGGGCACCTTTATCGCCCTCACTTTATCTTCCAACGGGATATAACCTAGTCTTGTCGACTCTGTCTCCCAAGTAGGTCCCTTGGGCGCATCTGCAACACAGATATTTCCCTTCTCAGATGTACGCCTGCCTTGGAGAAACGTCTGAGAACTATGTCCAAGTTCTCCAAGTGTTCTTTACTGCTCTTCCTGGTTAATAACACATCATCCAGATAAATGGCGACCTGGGGTAGACTTTGTAAAATGTTCTCTGTTTTCCACTGAAAAATGACACAGGCTGATGATACCTCAAATGGCAGCCTCGTATGTTGGTACAAACCATTATGTAGCCGACTTCTGCGAATCCTCACCTAAGCTGAATTGCAGGTACATACGGCTCATGTCCAGCTTTGGGAAGTACCACCATCCCACCAGCTCTGCATGTAAGTCCCCTATTAGAGGGATTGGCTATTTATCCAGCTGTGAGAAGTGGTTTACCATTTGTCTGAAATCCTCACAACAGTGAACTGACCCATTGGGGCCTCACAGTCAATGCAACCTCTGCTGCCCATTCCACTAACTGTACTGGTTTAGTGATTCCTTCACTTTCCACCCTCCTGATTTCTGCCTCTACTTCTGCATGTAAGGCATATGGCACTGGGAGAGCCTTGCAGAATCAAGGAATTACTTCCTGGTCAACCTGCAAGGTGGCCTTGGCTCCTTTGACAGTCCCCAGACTTCACTGAAAAACTTCCAGTATTTAATTAAGATTTCACTTCAGCAGCCATTTTCTAATCAAAAAATGTTGAGCTTGTCAAGGTAAATCTTTCTCAACCAATTTCTCCCCATCAAGCTTGGGCCAGAGCCTTTTACTACAATCAGTAGTAACTGAACCAGATGCTTATCGAAAGAGACCAGAACCGAAGGTGCAAGCTTAATCCGTGAAGGTTCCCCAGTATAGGTTCTCAGTCAAGCTGAGGCCTTACACAAACTGAAGGGTTAAAGTCTAGAGTGAATTTTGTCGAAGTTTGGTTCTGTAATCACTGATACAGCCGCACTGATATAGACCTCCATTAGAACTGGGTGACCATTTCACCAGATGTTTATTTTGATTGGTTCTGAATTGGATGTTGCAAAGCAATTTAATTGTTCCAAACCAGATGCAGGTGGACTTTGCAGGGTGTGCACTCTCCAGGATATTGGCCCATGAGCTCGCTTACTCAATTCAGGCCTAGTGGGTCTCTTTTGCTTTCTTGAGTCCGTATACCAGCAGCAACTACAATGGCTTGCCAGCCTGGATCCTGAAGGGAATTTTAACTGTTTGGCCAAGGCCCGGTTTTGGTTTGGGATTTTGCTGTGGGCTGACCTAGAGTCCCTCTGTTGGGGATATGTACTGAGTGAGGCTGTGCAATTGCCTTCACTCAAGTGATGTTCCCCAAACTCAGTTGGCCTGGTGAGGGGGTCCACTTCCATCAGAATATCCTGTAACTCAAAAGCTCCACTTCCATCAGAACATCCTGTAACTCAAAAGCTCCACTTGCCGCATTTTCAAATGATAAAGCCAGTTGTAGTGACTATTTGAAGTCTCGTTGGGCTTCAGCTAGTCGGCACTTTTGCACGGTTTCATCATTAATCCCACAAAACAAACGGTCTCTCAGGATCTCATTCAGTGCTAAACCAAAATCACATGTCTCTGCCAGTCATCTTAGTCTCATCAAAAATCCCATCACGGTTTCTCCTGGTTCTCAAACTGTCGAATAACACCAATTGTGTCTCAGAGTTACAGGAGACATGGGGTCATAATATTCCTTAAATAAATCTATCAACTCTTGAGAAGTTTTAGTACCTGAAGCCTCAGGGAAAGGTAGGCTCCTAATAACCGAAAAAGCTGCAGGTCCACAAACTGTCAGGACTATTACTCATTGCTTTTCACCTGTCGCAATATCATTTACCTAGAATTAAAAACTGCTGTTTTTCCTCATACTGGGTTCACTCTTCAACAGCAGGATCAAACAGGTTAAGCTTCCCAAATAGCACATGATGCCAGAAATGCTTACCCCAACTCAAAGATGACTATTGTGAGCAAATCTATTCAGAAACATGTTTTTCTCTTATACTGATATAACTCAAGACAGGCTGGTACCCTGTCACCAAGTCTTTATTGCACAGTACATGACACTGATCTAGTTCCCTCAGAGCTGGGTCCCAGAATGAATAGAACCTCTGGCACTCCTGTTTTTATCTGTCAGCTAGAGCTCCCTGATTGGACCAGATTAACAGTCCCAATCTGGGAACTCACAAACTGTTAACCATCTGGCTGACTTCATTACAATCACAACAACAACGCTGTACAATTACAGAAATCATCTCTACTTTTATAGTTCATTTTCCTTCACAATAAACAACATTGCATTTGGCTTCCTCATCACTTATTTTATATGCATTCCATCATTTTCAGGTTGAGCTGTAGATAGTGGTTTGAATTATTTACTGACATCTTGAATATTCGAGCAAATGGTTTGCCATTTTCATTTTCCAGTAGAATGCAGTTGATTATTTCCCATTCATGGTTTAAAAATGCTACATTCAGAATATTACGTTATATTCAGTGATCATTCGCACTTTACAATGAGAAAGACCAACCTGCAACTTTCAGAGCTATCACTGCTTGATCACGGCGTGTTTTGGACTCAACGAAACATGTGTAATTCCCTTCATCTGACACTTTTATCTTCTTCAGTTTCAGAGAAGCATTTCCACGGGGAAATTCATCTTTAAACAGTTCTGTCCTCCCTTGATAATCTTTGTCCTGTACATCAGGTCGATCCTGTCCACCGGTATATAAATGAACTGGTGAAGCTGAATCTGATGTAAACCATCGAACCTCCAGGGTATCCAGAGATAGAGCTGGGACCACTTGGCACTCTAGTACAACATCTTCACCCACAGAGACTGTGATAGGATAGTCTGGTACAAAAACATGGAATACCTCTGGCAAAATACAAAAATTGCAAAGTCAGAACTCTCACCAGATGAATAGATTTAATCTTCAGGGAGATATTTTAAAGGACACAAAAAAAATGCTTTGTTATCTTACTAATTCCACCAAAAAAAAATTACTTGTTTGAAAAATACAAAAAAGAGACAAAGATTTTAAAAAAGAAACTTTAACTGTACCCTTATTCACACACAGATTAGTTCATTAAACAGTTTCCATAAACGGATTGGGTGACAAAAGGGAAATTCTGACCAGAAACCTGTGAATTATGGAGTGACAAAATGGTGGGATGTTAATTAAATTCTCCATCAAAGGTTATCTAGGGTTTTTGGGAAAAAAAGTTAAGGATTATTTGTCTTTTTAATTTCAATGACAAGTTTATGAATCACAAGAAGAAATCAATCATGATGTACAGTGATGGGCCACATTCTCCACAAGCCCAACACAAGACCCCTTAAATACATTCTACTCCAGCTCCACTATGGTAAGTGATCACCAGGAGGGCAGAGGCAGGAAATTCAGCTCCTTTATGGGTTCTCATTTCTGACTGAACAATGAAGCAGAGTTCTTACTTCATGATGGCAAATTATGGTGGATGCTGGAAATCTGAATTCTGCAGTTCATCCTTTCATTGCTGAGCAACCAACCTCTCCGTATACACTTCAGTTTTGTTCATGGTTTTAAACAAAAGCAGCATGTCTTTATTGTTGCGAAGTTGGGCAGAGTACTTGTGGATTAGGAGGCAGGAAGTTAGAATTTAGTGCTTGTAAAATGCTACGGGGGGGAGCATTGTGTGGTCCCTGTAAAAACTGATGTGCTTTTTCTTTGAAAAATGGATGTCTGTGAGTAGCAGCTTGAAAGTTTGCAAGTATACAGAGAGCACCCGAATTGAAACATCTGTATTGAAAGGCCATACAGGCAGCAGACCAAGCAGCAGTTTTCTTCCTCAGACAACAAATTTTTGAATTTAGCCAATCAATAACCAGGCACTTATATACCAGAAACCAATTAAATTTAAATCTGACAGTTGACAACATAGGACGAATCCGATTGCAAAAAACTGATATGTCTTCGAGGATATAAAAGAAGGAGCAGTTGGGCAAAGAACTAACTGCCATCCACCAGAGTTAACAGTCCTCAGCTCTCAAGAGAGACTTGTTGGCTCTCTCAGTTTTCTCTATGTCTTAGAGAAAGTACTATCTAAAAATAAAGGTACCAAAGGCACAACTAGTTAACAGTCCTGACCAAAGAATCAACGGAGAAGGCACAGAACATTCCAGAAGACACGTAACCTCACTGTAATTTCAAGGGACTAAATTCCATTTTTATTTTATATGAGTGGGATTTGTATTTATGGGAACAGCAGGTCAATAGAATCTTGTTAGTCAGGAATAGTTACTAGTTAGAAGGGGTTTATTCCGTTTGTTAATAATTTAGTTCATCTGTTCACTGTTAAGAGTTAAATAAATAAATTGTTACTTGTTGATTGTAAAGTAAGTGTCAGGGATTTATTTTATTTAACCACTAGAAGTTGCTGAAAGACAGGTGACACCACTTCTCACACTGCTTTTACAGATTATGAGGTGGGGTGCTCCTGTTGGGTATTTCGGTTTTAGTTCACGGGGGAGGGGGGGTCAACCTCCACCTCATAACATTACATCCTGCAGGAATGTCCCAAGGACCTTCACAAGAATGTTTGAAATGTAACTGTGACACTGACCCATATTCGACAGATTAGGGCAGGTGGCCAAGAGAATGGTCTTGGGTAACACACAGATTAGGACCTGGGTGCCTGAAGGTACAGCCACCATTGGCGGAGCGATTAATTTTGGGGATTCCAAACACAGCAGAACCAGATTAGTGTAGATCTCCCAGAAAGTTGTGGGCAGGACCCCCCATTAACTAGCACAGTAACCCAAAGTGTCCAAACAGCAAAAACTGGTCCCTTTAACTTTATACCAATGCATGACTACACAATTTAAAAAATCGCTCTACACCTGAAAACAAATTAGGAGGAACTTTGGTTGTGAAGTTGGAGGAGATTACAGACATAGGGAGGAATTAAAGCATTTGAAAACAAGGATGACAATTTGAAATTAAGGCATTGTTGAGATCAGAACCAATGCACAAAATCAATGGAAAACTGATTTTTTATGACATTTGAATTCCACTTTTATAATTCGGCACACAATATGAGCTGAAACTTCAGTGAGTTCTGAGAGAGTGTTATATTGTTGGAAGTGACATCTTGTTCTTGAGACATGAAACCACAGTATAGTGTGTCTGTTCCAGTGGGAGTGAAGGATCCCATGAAACTATTTAAAAATGTTTAGAAAGATCTCCCAATGTTGCAGCAACATTCCTCACTCAATAAATACTATGAACAGATTATTTGCTTATTTAAATCATTGTGAGTTTTGTATGACATTGTCTGTACAAGTAACTTTCATTGTTAAATTTGTTTTTTTCTGGAGGAGAAATCTTACCAGAACGTAAATGTGACAGTGAGCCACATGAAACTAGATTAGGGCAGAAACCCAAAAGCCTGGTCAAGGAAGCAAGTTTTGAGAAGCATCTGAATGGGATAAAGAGGGAAGGAAATTTTCAAACTGTATGATGCTGATACGGCCTTTGTTGTGTTCATGGGATTAAACAAAGAGGACAGAAATAGGGAATTCGGAGGACAAGAAAAGGCAGGTGTAATTTTTTTTCAGCCTTTTCACCCCTGAGCTGCAGCAACAATGAGAAGAAAGAAAACCCACAAATGATAGAAATCTGAAACAAGAAAATGCTAGAAGGACACAGCAGAGCCTCAGTATCTATGCAGAGAAAGGATACGATCATGTTTAGTGTATGTACACCCTCATCCATGGCCTTCTCTGGGAACTTACTCTACATCAAGTTGTGCAATTAGATGCTGCTGATTCCAATTGGAGCAGATTGTATGACACCACTAAATGAGATTTTTAGAGAATGAACAGATTGAAGGATACACAGCGTGAGAGATCAGTCAGTTTCCCCATGAAAAGTACCCTTATTTAATGCTTTTCTAATTGTGAATAATTTTATGGTAAATTAGCTAATCTGGTGAAGAGATGCTGCTCCTGAAGTGTCAGTAACAATTTGCAGTCACAATTCTTTTGCTTACCTGACAGCACAGTGTGAAAACCAAGGAGCAACACAATACTCAAATGTCTTCCTTGCATCATGAGAAAGAAGTGATTGAAGGATCTCATCTGAAACAAAAAATTCTCAACATATTTCTTAAAGAGCAATGTCAACTACAGGATTGAGACACTGACATAATCAGCCAGATTATCTGATGATGATATTGTACATATCACTGCCGACAAGGTATACAGACCATAGGCCAAGTGCTGGGATTAGAAGATTTGGGTGTTATGCACAGACTCGATGGGCTGAAGTGCCTTTTTCTGTGCTAAAGGCCTCAATCACTCTATGATAGCAATGATCAGCACGTTCTTACTTTTTCACGTTTTTCCTAATGGGTTTTCTGTTCTCTGCTGCATTAACAAATGCTCAGCTCAGGGCTCCAGGAGATAACTGACAGAGGGGAGCAGCAGAGATGGACGACCCCTTTTCCAACATCAGCTCCTGTTGTCAGGTAAGATTGTAAAGGTCTTGGTATTTCAGCAGGAACACTGGGTGGGTCCATCGCTGCTGTGATGGATCAGACCAGACCCCCTCAAAATATTTTGAGAAGGTAGTCTACACCCTAACTTTTTCTTATTTTAAAGTTGGATGTGAACTGGGTTGTAGGATAGTGTGTGAGAGAGAATAACGGTGAGTGAGTAGGGTGCAAGAGGGTAATTAGAGAGTCATACAGCACAGAAATAGACTCTTTGGTCCAACCAGTCTATGCTGACCATAGTCCCAACCTAAACTTGTCTGCGCCATGCCCATATCCCTCCAAATCCTTCCTATTCATGTACTTCCAAATGTCTTTTAAACGTTGTAACTGGGCCCACATCCACCACTTCTTTTGGCAGTTTGCATGATTTTATAAACCTCAATAAGGTACCCCTCAACCTCCCATGCTCCAGTGAAAAAAATCCCAGTCTTTCTAGTCTAATTTAAAATATCAAACCCTCCATTCCCAGCAACATCCTGGTAAATCTTTTCTGAACCCTCTCCAGTTAATAATATCCTTCCTATAACCAGAACTGCACACCAGTACTCCAGAAGAGGCCTCATCAATGTCCTGTACAACCTCAACCAGATGTCCCAACTCCTCTTCCAGTTATGTACCTTACAGCCTTCTGGGCTCAACACAACACTTCACCAACTTCAGACCACAAACCAATTCTCCATTTTGATTCCTTGTTTTGCCAAGCTCTTGATTGGGAAGTTGGGGTGTCAGGGGTGTAGACAGGTCAAGGGGTATGCTGTTGCTTTGAACAATGAGGTATTGGGTTAAACTGTTAACTAAACAGTTACAATGGAAGTTAAACAGTGTAACAATTATCGGATATGTGTCTGAATATGTGGTGTGTATCTCACCCAAGTTTCTGACACTGAGATCATTGGAGGGTTCCAGGCAGCACAAATTAGCTCATCAGACACTGACACTTCCTGGACAAATACACAGCATGTGTCAAACTTCCAACAGACACAGCATTGTATATTTATTCATTCCCATTCCCAATAATGGAAATATATGGCCCATTCTTTCCATTCTGTTACAGATTCATCGAGTTAAATTTTCATCCTGGGTTCAGGAAGAGTAATTGAGGATATTTCCTGTTTTTGGTTTCCTGACTTGGGAAGTGCTGCCCATTCACCTGGAATTTTGGTCTCTCAGAGATGGGTACAGTCTGGAGTGAGGGCTGCTGACAGCAGAGGTGGACTGATATTGAGGTTTGCAAGTCAGAAGCTTCACCTCCATTTGCTGGGACAGGAGCCCAGTTCTGTTCCTGTTTATAAAACTCTCGAAACATTAACCATCACTCAACCATCATGTTCCCCTCCATAACTCTTTTTATCAATCCCCGTGCTCCACTTGTAACTACAATCCCTTCCCTAGAACCATTCTGGAAAATCTTCCTTCCACCTCTCAGATGCCCCCACATCTTTTATAAGGGTGGTGCCAGAAATGAATACAGTTCTCATGTCGCTATGACCAACCAGTTTTCTGCAGGTTTAGCATAAATTCCCTGCTTTCGTACTCAACTCCTCTGTTTATGAAGCCCAACATCTCCTGTGCTTTACTCACCTCTCTCTCCTGACATCCTGCCACTCTCAAAGAACTGAGGTTAAAAGCAATTAAGAATGGGCAGGTGACCGCTTCCCCCCCACCATACTTCCCACGAATGTATGCATTTTAAAAATGCATTAGCACCACATGATTTGCTAACACTCTGTGTAAATCCCCATCCTTCACTTGTCAGCCTGTTCTGCAGCCTATACACAGCCTATTGCAACTGATTTGCATCATCTTCACTATCCGCCACTTCCAAAGTTTGGTAACATCAGCAAATTTTGATATTTTAGTCTGTACTGCAATATTCAAGTTATTGAGTGGTTTTGGCACTGACCCATGGGGAACACCACTGTCTCCCATCCTTCATTCAATTTTCTAATGAAGTTGATGCTGAGCTTTCTATCCCATGAACCACAATATTGTGAACCAGCCTGAATATCCACCTCTTTCCCTTCGTCAATCGTTTCTGTTACTTCATTAAAATAAAATCAATTACGCAAGGATCATTTACAGTTTAGAAATATCTGAACTAAAATTTTTTTGAGTGACTATTGATTTTTTCGAGATTATTTCCTCTCAAGCCTTATCCACCGTTGATGTGAAACTAACTGTCCTGTATTTACTGGACTATCCTCAGACCATTTCTTGAATGAGGGTGTCCCATTTGCCACTGTCCATTCCACTGCCACTGTGTTCCATTGGCCAAGTAACATCCCTCAGCCTGGGAAGTTTGGATGAAAGGGAGATGAACGGAGGATAAGACAGCAGTGAACTCAGATTGTGGTCAAAACATAACTGGCTTGCTCATGTCCTTTAGGAAAGGAAATCTGCTGTCCCCACCCAGACCTGCCGACACGTGACTCCAGACCCACAGCAATGTGGTTGACTCAACACTACTGTCTCAAATGGTCGAACAAGTAAGTCACTGAGTTCAAGGACAATTAGGGATGAGTAATAAATACTGACCGTGCCCCTCCCACATCACATTAAAGAATAAATGTGAAAATCTTCACTTGCTTTAGCAATCTGCTATTTTAACGGCGGTGTAACCCATTTGAAATAATAATTCCAGTGAAATAAAAGCATATGCACTTTCAACCAAGTGTGAAAATGTCTCATCGCATAATCTCAGGGATGATAATCCTGATTTGTCTCTGTTTATGTTGCTCAGAAATTGCATCTTTTTCAAAGTATTCTCAGTTAAAGCATGGAGACTGAAAACTTACCTTTGGCTTCTGACAGTCAAACTATTCAGTAGTGAGATATTTTTCACAAACACTGCAGAGGAACTCTGATCAGGAACATGACAGCAAGCAGTGAAATCATCTTTATCGTGTTAAGCTGCAGGAAGAGAGTCAAGACACAGGGTTACATTTTGGGATAGAGGAGTTGGGAAGTTTGAATTGAGGGAGGATTAGCTGGCAGTGAGCTCAATGGAGAGACAGCATGACGAATAAGTAGGTACGCTGTATATAATGTTAGTTAGACCCCAGCTGGAGTAATGTGTGCAATACTGGAAAGACATGATTGCACGAGACAGGGTGAGAGGGCATCCAGCAGGATGTTGCCTGGGCTGGAGTGATTCAGCAATGAAGATAGTCTGGAGGGTTTGGGGTTGTTTTCCCAAAGCAGAGAATGTTGAGCAGAGAATCTGATTGAAGTGTAAAATGTTCTAAGGGGCATAGACTTGTTAGATAGGGCAAAGCCTTTTTTTCCCCTTCATAGAGGAGTCAGTTTTAACAGAAGGATGAGGAGATAAAGACGTGTGGGTGTCTGGAACTCACTGCGTAAAAGAGCACGAACCTCAGACATTTTAGAATAATTTAGATACGCACTTGAAAATCTACAACAGACAAGAATAGAGGCCAAGGCCTGGGAAACAGAACCAGAATCGACATGGACGCAATGGGCCGAAGGGCCTGTTTCTGTGCTGTAAAACTATCTGATTCTATTTCAGATTGGGATTCTTCAATTATCAATGATAAGAAATTAAAAAATAAAATCTAAACTACGTCAGTCTGTTTGGCAGCATCTGTGGAGACAGAAGGCAAGGTAATGTCTCAGGGTGATGACCTTTCATCAGAAAGATGGGAAGGTGTTTGATGCAGAGGATGATGGAGGATAACAGTGAAGGTCCCTCAGTGAGAAAATTGCTGCGAAGGGTGGGAGAGAATGAGAATTTAAATGAGAAATGAGATGCTCAGTGGGGGAGAGAGGACCCAAAGAGCAGAGGGTCAGGGAAAGGTGTGAAAAAAAGCAAATTGCCAGTGGAACAGCCTTGATGGGGCTCATGATGGAAGTACAGCCAGACAGGGAGGATTCATTTACGGAGAAATTGTCAGGCAGCTGGACTCACTGCGCTCGACCGGAAATGGGAAAGAATGGAATCGGGAATGGACTCAGCACAAGGGAAACTCCTCAATTAATGTTTATGTCAGGAAATGAAGCGCCACAACTATCTCCAGGATTGAATTATTTGCCTTTAAACAGAAACCCC